CTGTGCCGCTTGAAATGGAACCCGGGATTATGAAAAGCTCAATTAGCGTCAATTGTGGATGGAGGGATTTTGAGTCAAAAGGGCTTGGAATCAATCTCATGGGCTTGTTTCAACCCCCTTTTTTTTTCATGTCATTCGGCCTGTTGGCTCTGATTCTATCTTGTTTGCATTACAGTCGCACATACAGACCTCGACAGCGAGGGCTCGGTCTTACAGAGACAGTGCGGGGCAGTGCTTAGAACGCAGCACTGGGACTCGACAGCCCTGGGTCCTGTTCCCACGTCTGCCGCTCACCTGGAGCAAACCCCTTCCCCTCTCGTGCTGGTGGCGTTAATGCTTTGTATGATCCCACGTGCTCTGTTCAGATTGCTGGCAAGCCCAGTGTTCTCCTCTGGACATGTACAGCGCCTGGCACAATGGGGCTCGCTTGGGACCTCTCTCGTTAATAACACGGCGTGAGAGACAGTCCCTGCCCCAGAGAGCTCGCAATCTAGACAGGCAAAGGGAGGGATCAGCGAGGTTTAATGAAGAGAACTGAGTGTCTGAATTCACACGGCAGGTCAGGTCCCCTGACTCTCAAGGCCTGTCTTCACCACGGCGTTAACTCCCCGCGCTCGGGCTGCGCTCGCGAAGGCCATGTCTGCACTCCAGGCTTTGGTCGACGCCAGTTACCTTGGCATCCAGCTGCCGCTGTTAGTACATCGCTTGGGCGCCTGCCCGCTTGGCTGCGTGCATCTGCCTGCCCGGAGTGCTTGCGTCGACGCAAAGTGCGGCGCACTGCAGGTAGCTAACCCGGTGTGCCACGGGCTGCCATCCCAGGCAGTGCCCTTTGGGCCGTGTTCGCAATGCATTGTGGGGTAGAAATGAGTCGTGCAGGGATGCCTGGAAGCAAGGAGTCGAGTTCCCATCGTGCAATTTTCTCCATCCCATAATGCCATCCGTATCCCATAGACTTCTGGGGACATCCCACAGCTCTTAGCGCTGGAGGAGGGATTCTTTCCCGGGGACGTGTGGGACAACTTGTCTGTCCTTTCTGGGGGTGTGGGGAAAAGGGTGAGCAGGCATTGGAGGACGGGCAGTGCTCAGACGGCGCTAGCCCCGTGTTTCTTGAATGCAGCTACTGTGGCTGCATGCGGCCACCAGGGGCATTTCTTGTGGCCACAGCCACCTGGGCAGTGACTGGGGCGGGGGGGGGGGGGGAGAAAGCAGTGGCCCCTCCCCTGCCCCCCTCTGGAGCCACAAATATCAGAGAAGCAGGCAGCCAGTGAGTTCATCCTCCCTGGCCCCCCTGTCTCCCTACCCGCCTCCCCACCCAGGGCTTAATTCTGGTTTGCCAGGGCTGAGTAAGTCTGCTGTGAAAACTGATCTCAGTCTGTTTGTTAATATCACTTTTCACAGCCTCCCAGTAAGTCTGCTGTGAAAAGTGATATTAACAAACATTACTTTTCGCGACAGCAGACTTACTAGCCAGCAAGTTTTTTTTTTTTAAAAAAGCAACCAAAAAGCAAAAGAAACCACCACCCCAACAAAAGACAAGAATGTGCAAAGCACCTTATTTGTGTTTCTGTTCCGTTTAGGTCCAGTAAAGAATAGAGACAACTGTACATTATTTTTATCATTGAGTCTGCAAAAAACCCCACCCTCTCCATAAATAAATTATCAGGATTTGGACGTGTACATGTGCATATTTATCTGTTTTTCCTAAAGTTAATTAAGTATTTCAGGAAAAATTGTCAGAGTGGCCACCAGCAAGAGTTGATGGCCGTGCTCTGAGGTCACCGAAAAATGTGTTGAGAGAACCCCTGCGCTAGCCGGCATTCACGCTGCAGAGAGTCTGGGGCAGCAGCCGGGACTGGCCCCACTCCAGTTACAAGCAGCATGCATTTGAGTGGAAGGGTTTGTGTGTGAATGGGGCTTGAGTTATAACAGGGGTAGGCAACCTATGGCACGTGTGCCGAAGGCGGCACGTGAGCTGATTTTCAGTGGCACTCTCACTGCCCGGGTCCTGGCCACCGGTCCGGGGGGCTCTGCATTTTAATTTAATTTTAAACGAAGCTTCTTAGACATTTTAAAAACCGCATGTACTTTACATACAACAATAGTTTAGTTATATATTATAGACTTATAGAAAGAGACCGTCCAAAAACGTTAAAATGTATGACTGGCCCGCGAAACCTTAAATCAGAGTGAATAAATGAAGACTCGGCACACCACTGCTGAAAGGCTGCCGACCCCTGAGTTATAACTTCTCTGTTAACTTAGCAGTGAAGGCAAGTACTCTGCCTTTCCCCTGAGTTTTGGGGAAGTGGGGGGCGGGAGGTGGCATCTGGGGGGTTGTGAGGCTGGGTCTGGGAATTTGTGGGGTTTTTCCCCCTACGTTGGTTCATAGTGTGTTTTCTGTGGTTGGTTGGATTTGTTCGTTTGCCCTCTGGGCTGGGTTTGACGTTGTGATGATGTCATGCTGTTTGTAGGCTTTATTTAATTGAATGCATTTAAATACTAATTCCCTCAGCAAAGAGAGTCCACTGTAGCCGTCCTCTGGCACAAGCAACAGAACGATCTTTTGGAAACAGCTGTTTGAAGGGGGCCTTAAAGCCCCTCCCAAGAGCGGGTTGGACGCTGGGCACTGTACATACGCATAGTACAAAGCCAGGTCTACTCTGACAAGTTAAGCAGATAAAGAGTGGGAGGGGACGTGTGACTCCCCTGAGGTCACATTGTGGCGCTCGGGCTAGATGAACCCACCTTTCCTGACTCCTAGCCCACCCTGCTCTAATAACTCTGCCTGTCAGGCTGCATAGACATCTACTCAGAGTTATTCTCCCCCATTTTACAGAGGGGGAAACTGAGGCATGGAGGGTCTAAGTGACTTGCCCAAGGTCATGCAGGGAGGCTGTGGCAGAGCTGGGAATTGATCCCAGGTCTCCTGCATGCTGGATCAGTGCCTTAACCCCTCGTGTCGCTGTTAGTTATGCGTGGAAGAGAGACATTCCCACATACCCTGGCCCTTTCCCTGGAGGGACCCGCATGGCGGTGAGAGATGAGTCTTAACGGCCCGTTCCTTTCCTGAGGCTGCCAACAAGGGGGTCAGCTGGTGCCAGCTGTGTCAGAGGCACCTGTGCATTAAAGCTCTGGGTTGCAGCCCCCGTCTCATTCACCTAGTTCCATAAACAGCTGGGCCGGAACTTCAGGCCCTACTGATCCGGGCTGGATTCGAACTGGTGACCTGAAGAAAAGAGGGTGCCCCCGCCTCCTCTGCAGGTATAAGGCAGGTCTGCGGCACATGGCAAGCAAGCCATGGGGATGGGGGTGTTGGTGCCAGGAATCAAGCGGCGCCAGCTGCGCTCTTGGTGATGAGCGTGTCTTTCTATAGGGCGAGTTGGATTCCTGCCTTGTATTTCTAGGGAGGACGGGGAGCCTTGTGGCTAAGGCGCCAGCCTGGGAAACATCGGGACAGGGATCGATTTCTGGTTCAGCCACAGACTTCCCGTGGGACCTTGAGAAAGTCACTTAATCCCCCTCGGCCCCAAATCAGAGAGGAGTCTTACGCTGCTGTAATTTACACCTTCCTTTGGCCCACTCAGCACGTAAATAACACCAAGTCAGACTTCCTTCAGCTCGCCCCCGCTGGCTGACACGTCACGCATCCCCCCCTGCCCCCCCGTGCTGTGAGAGCCTCGTGCGACATTGGGCACGGCTTGGTGCCAGCTTCAGTTCTCGCAGCCTCCTGTCTGAATTCGCTGCTGTATTAGCTCTATCTATACCACGGGGATCCTGGTGCTCAGAACTTGTCTACACACGAGCAGTGTCGCTTTAACTATACCGGTGTAGTTAAAATCCTGCATCCCCCTCCCAGAGTGGCCGCAGGTTTACTGGTATCCATGTGCTTGTCCTGGTGTAGCTTAGAGGAGGGGAATATGCTCTACCTGTATAAGGCATCTTTTTACCAGGATAACTGCATCCACGCTAGAAATTGTACTGGGATAACTGTAGCCATAAAAAAACCAACAACCTCGCCCCTAACTGACATAGTGATACCGGGACAAAATCCCTGTGTCGTGCTTTGAGATCTACCGAGGAGAAGGCCTAGCTATTCATTATGATCAGGGCTGAGCGATGACTTAAATTGCTTTCATCCTCTCGGCTGGAAGGTGCTAAAGCCAGCACAAAGTTTGCTCATTGGGCTCTGTCTTCATCCGCCCCCTTGGCCACGGTGACTCACTGTGCAATTGGCATCGCTGTGTCATGTCCCCATCTCCCATCTTTTAGTGTGTTTGGGTGACGGGTGCGGGGGGGGGGGTATTTAGATAGATCTGGTCCCTCTTCCAGGCTCCCTCCCCTTTTTAGCCGGTCTATTGGCAGAGGTATCACCGCGCTGAGACCTTTTAATTCCACCGTTACCTGGGTTTGTTATTTATCCGCCTCCCGTGCTCAGAAGAATGGAGGCCTGGGTGTCCCGGATTTCTCTTGTGTTCCAGGACAGGGGACTTTGGGTATTTTTTTTTTTAAATGGCAGTTAATTAATAAACACAAGCCGGTTTCCCTGCCAGTATGAGATGGGCACCCCTCACTGCCCATTTCCTGGTCTGCTTAAAAAAAAATCTCAGACACCATCCACCAGCAACCACAGGTGTCTCTCCCCCGGGGCTAATGCTGTGGTTAAGTGGCTCATCTGAGTGCTTTGTTCTTGTGGCTGGGCCAGGCCTTGAGAGATTTGGGTTTGATTCCTGCCTCTGCCGCAGACTCCCTGGGTGATTTGAGGCAAGTCTCTCTGCGCCTCAGTTCCCCCACCTGTAAAATGGGGATAATGTTTCCTTGGTCAGCTTCTGGGGGTTGCAAGCACTCTGGGGCCAGGACCATCTCACTGTGCATTTGTATGTTGCTCAGCTGCCGCGGGGAGATGACAGGGTCCCTAGGTGCTACTGGAGCACTGATGATTAACCACCAGGCCCTGCTTCCTCTTTTCACCCTGGCCCCTGTCATTCTTTTGCAGCCAGGAGTCGCTGTGCCCCGGCGATTCCCGCTGAACGCCCGTCCCGAGCCGTGCGATGGACTCCATGTTTGAGGATGACATCAGCATCCTCACCCAGGAGGCCCTGTGCCAGGATGAGGAGTGGCTGGACAGCCCCAACACGGACATCTCCAGTGAGATGTGCTCGGCCTCTCACTTCGCCCTCATCACGGCCTACGACGACATCAAAAACCGTCTGACCAGCCTGGAGAGGGAGAACTCCACCCTCAAGAGGAGGCTGAAGATGTATGAGATCAAGGTGAGGCGCGAGAGGGCGAGCGTCCGCTCCTTCCCCCCCCCCCCCACGCAGCCAGATCCAGGGCGGACCTGACCCCGGCCAGGCGAATGGAACCGCTGGGACCGGCGCCAGGAATCCGGGATAACTGTAATAGCAGCTGTCGCAGTGAGGCGCGGGGTCACGCACACAGTAATACACAGCCGGGCGGGCAGCTCTGGGATTGTAGATTTGATTAGACACCCCGGGACAGGGCGGGGGGTGTTTCTGGGCTCACACGCGTTACTGTGGGTTGTATACACAGTGTGCAGCTCTGGGCTTGTCCCCGGGATTATACACCGCTGGGCGTGCCGTTTCCTGTGTCTCTAGCACAACGATGATTAACCAGAGCGCGTCTCTGTTGTGCTCGGCGCTGGCCTGAGCAGAAGGCCGCTCGCGGGTCCCGCCCTGAGACAGCCACATCCGCGGAGCTCTGGGAGACCCTGTGAACCGAGCCGAGCGGAGCGCTGTTCTCCCGGGCCGGCCTGCGACTTGCTCCATTGGATGCCAGCTGGGGGCAGCCCCCGGGCTCCTGGGGAGGTGCCGGGGCTGCTGAGTTGGGGCACCCCGTGCTGCTGTCGGCGGGTTCCTTGATGCCCGTGTCTGCTTTCGCCCCGTGGCTGCAGTACCCGGTGATCAGCGAGTTCGGGGAGGAGCGCCTCTTCTCGGTCTACGACACCCACGAGTGCTCCCTGCTGAAGAGCGAGAAGGCCAGCCTCCAGCAGCAGCTCAACCAGTTCCAGCATGAGGTGGGTGGCTTAGGGGGCTTGGCACCTCGCAGCTGGCTTGCCCGGGCCCGTTGGTTCCTAGCTGAAAAGATCAGGGTCGTGGCGAGGTCAGGGAGATGGAGCTAGCCAGGCCCTGCGCTGCAGAGGTGTAAGTGTGTCTGTGGCTTTAAGGGGGTTTGGAGGGCCCGACAGAGGGGGATGCTCAGCCCCAGTGATTGTGTGTGTGGGGATTTGCAGAGCCCGATAGAGACAATTTCTCAACCGTTGGGACAGAAGGATCTGCAGGTCCCTATGGAGGAGGATTCTCAGATGCAGGGGGGTTAAGCCTGGCATCCTGGCAAATTCCAGCTCCGATAATTATACTTGGCCAACCAAAAAGCCCCTTCCCGAGCCATTTAAGCCATTTAAGCCAGGCATGCCGTTTTCCTTCTCTTCCTGCCGGAAACATTGCTGGGTGCTGTTAAACAGGTGCTGTGTTGCACCCCAGAGGTGGCTGCATTTCAGAGGTGGTCTCTACATAGATAACGCTTGTAAAGCACTGTGGCTTAAAGGGGCTGGGGAAAAGGAAGCTATTTATTATCTGCTATCATCGTTCCTATGTCCACTTCTCTCTGGCTGGAGCAGGATCAGCGTCTCCCCCGCTGCTCAAGTACCCGAGGACCCCACGGCAGAGAGGCTCGGATCTCTGCCTTTAGTACCTTTAGCATGTGTCCATAGATGCGGCGTGTCTCTCGGCTCCTTGCGAACAGCCCCCTTTGCTTCTTTCCAGCTGCAGAAGAGCAAAGAGAGGGAGGAGCAGCTGGACGAGATGATCCAGGCGTATGAGAAGCTGTGTGTGGAGAAGGCTGATCTGGAGTCGGAGCTGGGGGAGATGGTAGGTTCCAGCGAGTGCCCTGCATGCGCCGCGAACTCACGGCCTGAGATAGTCTTCAACCACTCAAAAATAGGCCAGAGGAAACCAGATTGAATAACCCTTTGGTGGGAGGCAGGTAGCTAGGAAAAGGAAGGGTAGTCAGGGGGCTAAGGGGCTGGCCTGGGACTTAGAAGACCCAGGTTTGATTCCCTGCTCTGCCACAGACGTCCCTTGGGCAAGACCCTTAATCTCTTTGTGTCTGTGCAGTGGAGTAACAGCGCTGTTGTGAGGACAAGTGCATTAAAGACTGAAGCACTTAGATGCTGTGGTAATAGGAGGCGGCATAAGGTATCAGATAGTGTGTTCTGTCCTTTGATCTTGGAGTCTCTCTGGTGGCTAGAACAGGGGACTGAGAGACAGGATTCCTGGGTTCCATTCCTGGCCCTCACAGGGAGTATGGCCCAGATCCCCAAAGGTATTTCAGCCCCTAACTTCATGGAAGTTTAGGTGCCTAAATGCCTTTTGTGGCTCTGGGCCTGTTTGCAGGGAACCAGTGTCAGGATTCTATTCCCAGAACTCCTGGGTTCTATTTCCCGGTCTGCCGCTGACTCACCGTTGCTGGGCAAATCACTTCACCTCTCGGTGCATCTGTCAAGTGGGGCTGATGATCCTGACCCGCTGTACTGTCCCTTCGCTCGTTTGAGCTCTGTGCTAGGGGAATGCAGAGTGCTCCAAGACACAATTATTATAATGGCTGAATTCATGCATCAGGCAGTGTAACTCGATTACTTACCTCGGTTAATGCCTGAATCCGAGCCCGCTGCAGTGCGGCTTTGAACATGACTTTTATTAATGTGTCTTATCACTTCTCCTTCGCTTTGGAAGTGCTCTCCGCTCCCTCGGGCAGCAGCTCCTGTTTGCTTCCAGCTGTCCCCCGGCCTCGCGTGGCTCTCAGAGCTGCATGAAGGCTGCGAAAACGCTTCCACGGCTAGTCACTTGGGCCCAGATCCACAGGGGTATTTAGAATCCAAACCTCCATCGGAAACCTAGAGCGTAACTACCCTGAGAGTTAGAAAGTTTTCCTAATATCTAACCTACATCTCTCTTGCTGCAGGTTAAGCCCATTACTTCTTGTCTTACCTTCCGTGGGCACCATAGGCGCCAACTTTCTCCGGCGCTGGTGGGTGCCTGCGCCCCCCAACCCCTTTCCCCGCTCCTGGCCCCACCCCCCTTCCAACCCCATCCCCCAAAGTCCCCGCCCTAATTCTGCCCCATCCCTGCCCCTATTGGATCCCTTCCCCAAATCCCCGCCCCGGCCCCGCCTCTTCCCCCAGCGCACCACGTTCTCCCTCCTCTCCCCTCCCTCCCTGCCCCGCGAATCAGCTGTTTTGCGGCGCAAGCACTGGGAGGGAGGGGGGAGAAGCAGGACGCGGCGGCGTGCTCGCGAAGAAGGCGGAGGTAAGCTGGAGCGGAGGGGGGCGGGGAGCTGCTGGTGAGCACCCACCAATTTTTTTCTGGGGGTGCTCCAACCCCGGAGCACCCACGGAGTCGGCGCCTATGGCGGGCATGCAGAATAGTCGATCGCAGTCGTCTTTGTGGCAGCCCGTACCATATTGCAGACTGTTCTCAGGTCCCGCCCCTCAGTCTGCTTTTCTCAAGGCTAAACACACCCAGGTTTTTTAAAACTTTTTTCCCCATGGGTCGGGTTTTCTAAACCTTTGATCATTTCTGTTGCTGTCCTCTGGATTCTCTCCAGTTTGTCCACGTCCAGTGCCGAGCAGAGCGTGATAAACCCCTCCCAGGTCTTAGGGCTTGTCGTCTACACTTAAAATGCTGCAGCGCTTCACCAAAGACGCTGCCTGTGCTGATGAGATTTCTTCTCCCGTTGACGTCCATGTGTGGCAATAGCCAGAATTCTCCCATCAATCTAGCTCTGCCTGCACCAACGATGTAGTTACACCAACCTAACTTCCTAGTGTAGACCAAGCCTCACGTCTGACCCCCTTGTTAACACGCCCCAGAATATTAGCTTTTTTGATAACTGCATCCCACTGCTGACTCATACGCCGTTTGTGATTCACCGTAACCCCCAGATCCTTCTCAGCAGCACGAACACCTAGCCAGTTGTTCGATCAAAAGAGATTTGATTTCCACCCCCCGTCCCCCGGTCCTACGTACTTTGCATTTGTCTTTATTGAATTTCATCTGGCTCATTTCAGACCAATTCTCCGGCTTATTGAGGTCTCGTTCTGTCCTCCCGATTGCTTTTAGCCTTATTGTTGTTATGTGGGCTAGGTAAAAACCTCCTACGTTCATTAGTTTAACAACCGCCCTTCGTTTTGGTGGAATGTAAGAAACAAAAGCCGTCTCCAGGACAAAGGCGCACCCAAGGCCATCCAGGAATTCAAAAGATCAGGCAAAGAGGATCCAGCTGAGTGTTGTTTTTGGGGTGCGGCTGTGTCTGTGTGGGTGGGACAAACAGCACAAGAGAGAGACACCGGGACTGTGGTTTAGGCAGCACTCAGGTGTGACGATTGAGCTGGTGGCTTTTGCTGCGGTTGATTGTCCATTGCTGGGATGTTCCTAAGGTGGGATTTTTCTGAAGTGTCTAAGGGAGTCAGGCACCCGACTCCTATTGTAATTTGAAAATCTGCCCCCCACGCTGGGTGTATTTCAGCTACTGAATCTCCTAGGTGTTTGTGTAACCGCCTGGTGAGTGCGCGTTACGGGTACCGATCTGCGGGGGATCAGAGCCTGTTACACAGGCCAGCTACAGAGCTTTCGCTCAAGCTGTAACGGCTCCTGGTTTTAGTTCAGGAGGTCCCCAGTGTGTCAGCCACAGTAGTGGCCATAGGATTAGCTCTCGGGCTCTGGCATGTAAATTCAGATTGTACAGCCCCGTGCACCACACGGGGCTGGGCCCCGTGCAGAAAGGACCCACAAACCACGTGGTGTGCAAAGGGTTGTGTGTGTAGAGGGGGGGGGATATATTTGCAGCACAGATCTCTGCCCTTCACCCTCTCTTTCTGCACCTCCTTTTTTCCCCCCTCCTCCCCAGAGAGCTTTGGTGGAGACTCATCTGAATCGGATCCGGAGCCTGGAGCAGCAGCTGCGACAGAGAGATGGCAACTCCTTCCAGAACCTCAACTCCCAGCTGCAGAACCAGGAGGTCCAATACCTGTCGCTCCACGGCAGCCCTGGCCTGACACATGGTGAGTCTTTCGTTTCTGCCCTGGGAAGATGTTTGGTCTTCCCCAGCGTGGACCCTGCGTAATGTTGGCCGTTGTAGAGGGACTTGTAATACACGGGGGCTTATGCCCTCGCTGGCCCTGATTCCCAGCTCCTTAAGGCCACTTTTCTGCTCACTGCATTCTGGGGCAGTCGTGGGCCTGCCCAGTCATTGGTGTTTAGAGCAGCCTGAGGGTTGCTCTAAGTTACACTCTGCTTTGCATGGTGCTGTACGGGCCCTGGGAAGCAGAGAATAGTTGGAGTGCGCCGCCCTCTCCCTCCTCATCGCAGCCCCCACAATGGAGTCCCGCTATGAGGTGCTCTTTAGCCCAATGAATATTTTATAGGGTTTCTAGATTTTAGCACCAAAAGGCATCATTATGAGTGGTTGTCAACCCAAGGCCCACGGGCTGCTTGTGGCCCAATCAGCACACAGCTGCGGCCCATGTGACATCCTCAGGGCCATATAGGCAGTATATATATTGTGTGGATGCGGCCCACATAACACATCGAGAGCTGCATATGCAGCCCACGTTGGTAAATAGGTTGAGAGCCACTGGGCTAATCTGACCTCCCGCACAACGCAGGCCGTGGAATTATACCCTACATAAGAACGGCCAGACTGGGTCAGACCAAAGGTCCATCTAGCCCAGTATCCTGTCTTCCCACAGTGGCTACTGCCAGGTGCTTCAGAGGGAATGAACAGAACAGGGACTCATCAAGTGATCCATCCTCTGTCGCTCATTCCCAGCTTCTGGCAACCAGAGGCTGGGGACACCATCCCTGCCCATCCTGGCTAATAGCCATTGATGGACCTATTCAGGGGCGGTTCTGAGTCCGGCCTGTTAGCTTGCAGAGTACTGTGGGCTGTTGTTGCTTTTGGTATATTTCTGTCACTCTGCTGAAAAGAACAGCTCTATGGCACAGCTCCCGGTTTGCTGGGCCGCTCGAAGGGACGGGGATCAAACCACGCAGGGTCCCCATTCCGGCCAGCAGAGGGCACTGCAGCCCCTCCCTTTGTCGCTTCTGTTTCTGAACTTGCAATGAATCTGTTTCTGAAGTCTGCCACAAGCCCGGTTAATGGCCCGTTTCAGACTCCCTGCCACCCGGAAACACCGACCGAGTCTGTTTCCATGGCTTTAGTGAGGGAGATGGCACAGGCCAACTGTTCACAACTGGGGGGGTAGCTCCCGGAGAAGTAACAGCCGTCGGCACTCTGAGAGCACCTGGATCTCCGAGCGGGAGGGTAGCTCTGGGGACCCCAGCCAAGCTGTGCCGCGCTCTGGGAGCAAGACACCGTTCTTCTCCAGAGTCACCGGATGGGCGGGGGGGAAGCGAGCTCGGGCCTCCCGGTTCCGTGCCTGGACCCCATCCCTCTGTGAGCTGGCGTAAGAGCAGACCGCAAAGCAAACCCACCGGCTCTTTGATCACCAGCTGCTTCTCCTAGTGGTGGTTTCACTAACGAGTGCCGAAGGGGTCTTCGATGGTGGTGGGAGAATGGCTGATCCCCCCCCCCATGCTGCTTGTGGCTTGACTCGTGTTAAAGGTGCCCGAGACTCGAATGATCCCCCTGCCATAGAAAAGGGAACCCCGGCCACCCCCTGTGACTTCTTCACCCCTGAGAGCCACAGCCGCCAGCCTCATCCGTCTGGCACAGGCACATACGGGATGAGCTGCAGCGGAATAAAGATGCTCGAATCACGGCGGCTAATTACCGAGCAGCGCGAGTCATTGGGGCGAGCGTGAAACCTGCCGTTAAATATAATTAAAGGAAGGGATCATTGAAAACCAAAGAGGAAGCCGCCACCTTGGGTGTCTGGGCACCAGACGTGGGCTGCTGGCCGGTTCCTCAGCTCAGGCGTTGCTGTCCGTGGAGCTGGATCGATTGACGCCTGCTGGGGATCTGGCCCCTTGACTCCAGTGGACTGACGCTGGTTTACCCCAGCGAGGGATCAGGCCCTGGGGCTGTCAAGCCAGAGCTCTCAGGCAGGTTCTTCTTATTGGGAATGCGCCTGGGCTGCCTGGACCACGTGTAACACAGACATGGGGCTGCTTAGTGTATCTGGTCACGTCTCCTAATGGCCAGCCCCGGCTAGGAGAGGGGCCTGGCTACTGGCCCTAGAGGCAGCAGGCAGTGCCTTGGAGGTGCAGGGTCCTGGTTTGCTCCTAGCTGCAGACTGGAGGGCCCGTTTGTACGTGGCTTCTGTTCCCTGGGCAGTTCTTGCTTCGGTTTGTTACAGAGACGGGGCCGGTTGTTCGCTTCTTTCTGTGGGGCTGACCCCGATAAGGCTTTTGTGTTCTGACCTCCCCCCGGGAGAGGGATGCTGGCGGGAGGGAGGCAGGTAGAGAGAGCCAGGCTGTGCCAATTGGGGTGGCTCTGCCTCCCCCCAGCGCCTCCCTTCACCGGCATTATCCCATCCCGCCCCCAGTGCTGGATCGCTCGATGAGCTGGCAGAGCTCCCGCAGCCTGGAGCAGCCCAGCGAGCTGGAGGTGCACAGGCTGGAGGCCGAGCTGGAGGAGACCCGGCACGAAGCCCAGAGCTCGCAGCGCCGGGAGGAGCAGCTGAAGGCAGAGTGCGAGAGGCTGCAGTCTGAGCTGAAGCAGCTCCAGGAGACCCGGGCGCAGGTGAGGGGGCAGTTGGGCCGCCGCGGGGGTTCGTCTGGGCCCGGTCGTGCCCCGGACTCCTTGCAGGATCAGGCCTTGTGAAAGAGCAGAGGCCCGGTCCTGGACTGGGGCCTTGCTGGCATTTGGAATCGGGGCTTCTGTTTGCCGGGAGCTCCCAGGGATGGAGCTGAGAGCTCAGGCAGGGGCGGGTCCCGCTCTCGGCCCCACTGCTGTAACTCCGGAGCATCCCCTTGGGCCGGGTGACGGACAGAGACTCTTTCCCTGGCAGAGGGGGCAGCTGCCTGTCGACCGGAACTGAGATCTCCAAGCGCGCGGGGATTATTGGCTCTGCCTGATCCCTCTGGCAGGGGGCTGGCACTTGGCTTCGTGCCCCCGGGATCCCGTCTCTGGTGCAGAGACGTGGGGCCGGTAGGACTTGTGCAAGGTTTGCTCTGCTGGCTGCAGACATTGCGGGAGATGGCTGTGCCCGTTCTGTGGCTGATCCACAGATGATAGCCTGCCACCGCCCTCTGCTCGCCGGCCAAGTCCTGTCGCTCAAATGCCAGACACCAGTTCTCTGGGGCTAGAAGCCCTTGGTCCAACCCCTGCTGCTGACCCCAGCTGTGCCTCTCCCGGGGAAGGGATTACCTGTGGCTGCTTGATAGGGGGTGTGGCTCTCGGTCTATCCTGAGAGAGCAACAGCAGGGGCGAGAGGGGATAGCTGGGTTACCAGCTGGGGAGACTGGGAAATCCACCGGGACCGGGATGAGAACCGCCCCGGCCCCCTGCTGATGGTAATGGGGGGTTGTCTGATGTTCCCTAGGACCTGGCGACCAGTCAGTCGGAGCGGGACATGGCCTGGGTGAAGAAAGTCGGTGATGACCAGTGAGTGCCCGTCAGCACGGACGGACGTGCTTCTGCGCAACCCGGGGGGGGGGGGGGGGGGGGGGGGGGGGGGAATCCTGCCCCGCCCCATGCAGGATGTGGGTGGCCAGAGCTGCGAGGCGAATGACTTGGCAGCTGGATGCTTCTCTTGCCCTTGAGGTGGCCCAGGAGCCTTGGTCTGAACTGGCCCTTAGTGGGAGAGAGACGATGAGAGGCACGGCCCAAGGGCCCTTTCCCCCAGCTGTTTGCCTGCTCTGAGTCTCCGGATCAATAACGCCCGTGGGCCCGAGCCGCCAGCCCTCCCTTCCATTGGCGTCGGAGAGCGGGGGGGGCTGCGGGATCAAGCCCTGACTCTGTTTCCACTGGACCTAGCTCTGAACCATCCCTGGTGGCTGCAGCGCGGCACTGCCTGGCCGCCCCAGGGGGCCGGTGTAGGGAGTCCGGCCCGTTCAGGGATCCGGATCTCCTTGTGCTAGGTTTTGTGCACGTGCCCCCAGGGCTCCCTGACGACATGCATGCCCGATGGCTAGCATAGCAAACCCTGTGAGAAAAGCCCGGTGGGTTCAGCTCCTAGGGTCCTTCTCCCGCACGGTTTCTCCCCGAGTGCCCTCGCCCGGCGCCTGGTATCACATATCACCCGGCTGACACTTCTTGTCAACCCGTCGGGGAGCGTCTCCCGGGAGAGCTGTCGCAGGCCGACAGGCGAGGCGCGTGAGCGGCCCCTGCACGGCGGAGCTGCCTGCGCTGAGGAGGGCAGCCGAGGTGAAGCGGCTGGGTGGGTGCACTCCAGGGGGCAGCAGCGAGCTTGTCCTGGTACCTGGCATGACGAGTGACAGGCGGGTGACATGTTTGACCCTCCCTTCCCCACCTTGTGCCCCTGGCCCTAAAGGGTTAAACCTCGCAATACCCGGTGAGGGCGGTAGCTACTCTTCTGTCCAGTGCACAGAGGGGTAAACTGAGGCACCGAGTGAGACAGTGCCTTACCAAAGATCCCATTGGCTGCTGCGGGAGCTCAGTATTTGGGCAGGGACAGAACCCAGCAGGCCTCTGCTCTAACCACTAGCCCACAATGTGGATCATTGGTCTGGTGGGTAGGGCAATGGATAGCATTTAATAGACCCTGGGGGCTGTTTCTGCCTCTGCCACTAACCTACTGTGCAACCTTAAGTCAGTCCCTTCCCCTCTCAGTGCTTCTCTCTCCCTTCCCCACCCTGTGGCTTCCTTGGGGTAGGGACTGTCTCTCCTATATTTGTGCAGCGCCTAGCACCATGGGGGTCCCAATCTTGGTGGAGGATTCTAGGTGCTACTGTCATGTCATGCCGCTCGTAATGAGTGTCCTAGCGAGTTCTAGATGCCCGATCTCTCTTGCTCTTGGGGCACTGGAGAGACTCAAGCCTACCTGGTGGCTTTTCTGTCACTCGCAAAGGATTATCTCCTGTTCAGTGTGGCAACAGAAAAGTGGGAATATTACACTGAGCCCTGCTAACGCCCCGGTGTGGTTACTGAACGGGCTGTCCCCAGTCAGCCACCCCCATCTCAGGAGCGCCTGTGACTCCCCGTCGCACATCAGCTGCTGAAGGGTTGAAAATAAACAGTTCAAAGCCACTCGGCCTCACGTCCTATTCCCGAGGCCCTGGAAGCCGATAGACTGTCCGAACTCGAATGAGCTGGGCGTGCTGTGTGGAGGAGGGGATGGGGAGGAGAAGGGGGAGAGGCTTTTAAAAACATCCCCCTTTCTCGCCAATGTCCGAATCACTTGTGCAGGGGGGCTGCGTGCTTACAGGGGCTTTTGGGTGTCTGTCTCCCAGCTGCCTGTTGCCTTGCCCCTTACGGTGGTGGTCATACCGGTGCTGGTGAGCGCCCCCGCCGTGCCTGAGGATACGAGCCAGCTGGGGGCGCTTGGCGGTTTCGCTCAAGCGGTAGCAGCTCCTGCTTTTAGCTCTGGAGTTCCCCGGTTCAGTCCCTGATGTGTCTCACACAAGGGGAAGACACTAGCAGACCAGCCATGTGCGCTGGGGGTGACATAGACTGGCAATTTCCTGCAATATCCTGAACGGACTTCGCTGAATTAGGTTAATGCCTTTGGGGTCCATTGTCTTAAAAATGCCTGTGTGTGTGTGTGTGTGTGTGTGTGTGTCCCTTGTGGGATTGTCTGTGTTTCCACAGGAAGGGTGAATAGGAGAATAGCAGGGGGTGACTGACGAAGGGGGAATAGGAGAACAGCAGGTGGGCGACTGACACTGACGAAGGGTGAATAGGAGAACTGCAGGGGGCGACTGACGGAGAACAGCAGGGGGCGACTGACAGGGCAAATTCCCTCCGGTTGTAACATCTCCGCAGAAAGGGCCCCCTGGAAAGGAGCATGGATTCTCCAGGGACCAACAGACAAAGCAAGGGGGTTTGGATAAGGAGCCTGGTTTTAAACCGGCCTTCTTCCTGATCCAGCAAACGGACAGGTCCAGAGAGGGCCCCGAACCTTAGGGAGGGTTGGAAGGACTGGGGCTTGTTCGGAGCTGAAGCTGTGATGAACTGGTAACCTCAAGGACTTCCCTTGGGTGGGTGGGGGAGGGTTGAAGGACGTATCCCGCCCGAATCTCTGCTAGGGTCGGGGCGAATTCTGGTGAGCTCATTAGCATGCACATGGGTTCTTTCGTTATTCATAATGTTTTCTCTGTAATGCTTTTTACCTTCAGAGCAAAGTAGGCTTGCCTGGGAAGTGCCGCGTGGTGACTTCTAATTGTTGACAATCGCTCTATTGTCAGTCTCGGACAGCCTGTGTGTGCTGGGAAATGCACAGTGAAAGGCAGGGAACTGGGCAGCCTGGGAACACCCCGGCCTGAAGGGAGAGAGATGCAACAGCTGGGGAGCTGGCATCCTGATGGCGGGTGCCCTGGAAGGGTGATACAGGCGCGGTTTCCCTGAACTGTGGCACTGGGGTAACTGATCATACTGAGGCCCTGATTCTGTTCCATGGAGGCTTGGTCAGGCTGCTCCCTCGGCTTAAAGAGGACTGGAATTGGCTGTAAACAGCCCCTCAGAATCCCCCTTCCAGCTCCCCCCATCCCCATCCCAAGTAGGGACTGGATGGAGGTCAGTTAGAGCAGCCCTGAGTCACCTTCACCCTCTCTGTCTGGGGGAGGGATAGCTCAGTGGTTTGAGCATTGGCCTGCTAAACCCAGGGTTGTGAGTTCAATCCTTGAGGGGGCCATTTAGGGAACTGGGGTAAAAATCTGTCTGGGGATTGGTCCTGCTTTGAGCAGGGGGTTGGACTAGATGACCCCCTGAGGTCCCTTCCAACTCTGATATTCTGTGATTCTATGGAAAGAACTGAGAATCAGGCCCCAAAGATGAGAATTGGGCCCGTGGTTCCTGCTGGAGGCCACAGCGGAGACGGGCCCGGCAGCGAAGGACTCATGTGACGCTTGCTCCATCAGGACACCATCCAATCCTTCCATCGAGCCAGTGTCACCCAGGGACTGGGTGCTCCAGGCTGTAACAGGGCCTGGGGAAACAGCTCCTGCGAGGCCTGGGAAAACAGCTGGGATGGCTGGAAGCTGTTCGCAGGCCTCTGTGAAATGAGTTGGGGTGTGTGTCTCAGTCCCATTAGCTGGCAGTCTCGCCGGAGAGGCTGTGGATCGAAAGGAGGGGTGGTCGGATCTCCATACTTGCCCTCGGCAGTGGTGTCTCTGGGACAGCGGGAGCAATGCTCGGCCTGGCCCTGAACTGCAGAGCAGGGACTACTGATTTCAGCGCTCTTCACCTCGAGCGGCCGAGAGAAAGTTTCAGGGCTCCCATCCGATCCTGGTCGCGCGCTGGCGCGGCTCCGTGGGCTTCGATGGAGCTCCTCGCCGTTGGCAGCTGGTTTCAAGTCTGCCCGAGACGGGAATTGGCCTCTGAACCATGCAAGGCGCAGCCGTCCGCCCTGGGAGGACACCTCCGTAATTAAACTATTGCCGAGTCAGCCCACGCCGGCCTGCCTGCTCCAGCGTCTGGGATTCCGCCGCCCCCTGCGCGTCCCTGATTATCAGCTGGGTAAACATTTGGTGTGTTTCCAAGTCAGCTCCTCCGCTCATGAAGCTGATTACTGGATTCCCTCTTTCATTATCTCTGCTCTGCTGGGAATCCCTCCCCAGGGGATCGCCTGGCTCATTTCCTGCACACGAGGGCCGTGCCAGGGCTGCTGTTGCAGCTAATCAGGCAGAAGCCGAGGCAGGTTCTAAAGGAAGGGGGGGAGGGGAGATGCACCTTCCAAACTGTGTGTGGGGGGGTCCCTCCTGGAGCACCCCTCCCCTCGACCGTCATACTAATGAGCTTCTCCTTTGGGGCTGGTGTCAGTGAGGCCTGATGGGGAGGAGAGAGTGATAGACAGCAGCAGGTGGTGGTTCTGGGTCGGTGCTAACTGCTGGGATGCCTGCACCCTGTCCCTTCTGACCTCCAAGCTTGCCTGGAAGTCGGTAGCCAGTGAGCCCATCCTGTGCTCCCACGCGGCAGGTGCGTGTAAGAGATCAGCGGGTACCAGCACCGCCATTATTCCAGCTGCTTGCTGTTCCGGGATGGATTTGTACCTTGTGATGCTTTGCACTTCCGGGGCGCTTTTCACGCCAGGCTCCAAAAGTGCTTTAACGAGCGCTAATTAACTAAGCCTCTCCGCACCGCTCAGAGTTGGGGGATGGGCCAGGACTAGGCCGTCTGGGTTCTGTTCCTGCCTTCTCTTGTGCAACCCTGCTCTGTGCCTCAGTTTCCCCCATTTGTAAAAGAGGGCGGGGGATGGTGGTATAAAGCATCCAGACACTGACTCCATTAACGCTTGCCAGGTGCATTGTTGTAAGAGTCCCAGTGATTCTTCTTTCCTTCGCCTGTTTTGCTGACAAGGAAACTGACGAGCAGTGAGTTCGTGGCGGAGCAGGGACTGTAACTGGAGTCCTGGTTCTCAGTCTGCGTTTGAGCCGGGAGGAGAGGTGCGATTCCCAGCTTGTGTCCGTGAACCCGTGTTAGCTCGA